TGGTCCGGGGTGGTGGAGTCAGAAAGTTTGCGTCAGATGAGCGGAGGCTGCGGGATGGATTGTGGCAATGGAGCAATAATTGAACAAAACTTCAAATTCCGACACTTTTTTTTCTGTGATATTCATGACAGCAGGAGCCTCCCTGTAACCGATGGACCGAATATTTCACTACTCAAAAGAGAGGGAAAAGTTCCCAGGCTGCTCACATTTGGCAAAAAAGCGGATAAAAAAATGACTTTTGTTTTTATGTATAAACTTAATGTTGCAGCACCTAGTCAGGCATAAGCGGGTAGGAGGTGGGGGGTTTGGCCAGCAGGGAAGCAATGGCAGCGGCATCAGAGGCCTCCCCTTGTGGCTACAAGGGCCGCTGCCAGTGGGGTGCTTTTGATCAGACCATGTAAGCACCCTGGAAAAACGTTTGAAGATTGACCAAACTCCAATTCAAATTGCCCTTCCTCTTTCTCTTTCTCTCTCTCTCCTTGGTCTCACTGGTTTTGAACACGGTGCCAGACACTGGATCCCCAACCGTGTGAGTCTATGTGAAGCAATTTGCTGAGTGAAAAGTGCTGAATAAATCCAGGGTAAAAGTGCATCAAATGTGTGTTTGCAGTGCATTGTGGATGCTGTTGCTCTGAGATAGAAGGAAAAGGAAAAGCCAAAACTGTAGGTCCCCTTATAGCCACTGTTACGCAACATTATGCAAAATGCCAAAATGACTGGTTTCCAAATTTTACAATCCTACACTGTATGTGAAGCAACTGAGACAGAAAATGACAGTGTTTAAATTTAGTTTTTAAAATGAAAACATTCTAATATAAACACATTTTAAGAAGTAAAACAGTGTGAGGAATGATTTGCTGATTTACTGATATGGTTTCTGTTTTATAACTTGTCTCCAAGTGTTTGTTCAACATTAGCCACTCAATTTTTAAAGAATGTTTCTCCTTTAATGACCACAGCTGCTAACTATTACCTGAGAGCTGCTTTCTTTTCAGATTTGAAAAAAAAAGCTATTTTCTAACATTAGCCTTGAGGGAGGTTAGCTTTTCTGAAACAGGATGCACGTTTACATGTGGCTGCCAACACCAATACAGATCCATCTGAGGGTGTACATTATTTCACCACCATTTTTCAGCTGGCAGGGCAGATTGTAACCCACGCATGGGAACCTTTACCAAACCACAGTGTACAGCACACCCTACACTAACACCTTGTACCAGGATAGGATTAAGTCAAATTGTAGGTCTTCCACCTACACCCTGTACGAGAATAGCATAATGGGAGTTGATTTTAGGGAGATTGTGCTTTTATGGTTGAAACTCAGAAACATATTGTGCTCGAAGAGAGACAGAGAGAGAGAAGAGTGAAAGTTGAACTCCCTAAGTAACCTATCCGGCAGCTATCTCCTGCATCTACACTAATCCAGTTCAACAGTCTTGGATGTTGAAGTGATAGGCATTGCCTTTATCTGGCTGATCCCACGCACTGGATTAGATTCTGCGAAAGCACACAACCACACACTCTCTCGCTCTGTCTCAATGCAATGACCCTTTACAGAGACACTACCGAGGAGGCTCTGCTGAGGAAAGTGGGGAGCTCTGTAGTCAAGCCTACCGATTTGTGCAGATTGAAAAAAGACACAGGTCAGAGAGATCTGACAATGACCATGATAAACCTTATCCAATCAAATCCAATATGTCTGATGGGACCAATCTTAGCCTCAGTAAATAGCCTTGAATTTGATGTTGAGATTGGTCGCTACCTTGGGCCAGATGACAGG